TTATCATATTTAACTTACATGATATTTAATTTACAGTCTTTAACTTATACTATTTGAAATGAAGCATACTTTTTTTTTTCTTTTTTTGAGACAGCCGTGATGTGTTTGCCAGGCTGGAGTGCAGTGGCATAATCATGGCTCACTGCAACCTTTGCCTCCTGGGTTCAAGTGATTCTCGTGCCTCAGCCTCCCGATCTAGCTGGGATCACAGACGGGCATCACCACACCTGGCTAATTTTTGTATTTTTAGCAGAGATGGGGTTTTGCTATGTTGCCCAAGCTGGTCTCGAACTCCTGGGCTCAAGTTATCCACCTGCCTCGGCCTCCCAAAGTGTTAGGATTACAGGCGTGAGCCACCACACCTGGCCAAGACAGAACGTCTTCTGGCCCAGTGTGGATCACGCACAGGGGAGGAGGGAAGGTCCTGAGTGCATTGTGCCGAGGTGCCATGGAGGTGGTTTGGCACCAGAACAAGAGGAGCTGTCCCACCTAGTAAAATCCACAATGCCTGCTCCACCTCACCTGCTGAGAGAGTGCCACACCCTCAGGCATGACTAGCCCAGGGCCTGCCACAAAGCAGTCACCTAGGAAGTTACCTGAATGCAGGAGAAAATCTTGGAGACTAGGAGTCTTGAAACTGGGGCCCCAGGAGAACCTCAGGAAAGGCTTCAGTCTACGCGCAGTGGCTCACACCTGCAATCCCAGCACTTTGAGAGGCCAAGGCGGGAGGTGCATTTGAGCTCAGGAGTTCAAGACTGCAGTAAGACCACTGCACTCCAGTCTGAGCGACAGCGTGAGACCCTGTCTCAAAAGAAAGGAAAAGGCCGGGCACCGTGGCTCACGCCTGTAATCCCAGCACTTTGGGAGGCTGAGGCGGGCAGATCACGAGGTCAGGAGTTTGAGACCAGCCTGGCCAATATGGTGAAACACTCTCTCTACTAAAAATACAAAAATTAGTCGGGAGTGGTGGCGCATGCCTGTAGTCCCAGCTACTTGGGAGGCTAAGGCAGAAGAATTGCTTGAACCCAGAAGGCAGAGGTTGAGGTGGGCCGAGATTGCACCACTGCACTCCAGCCTGGACGACAGAGCGAAACTCCATCTCAAACGAACAACAACAAAAAACGGCTCCGGAGGCTGATTTGTTAAGGCCAAGCAAGGGAGGAATGAAAGGGCTTCAGAGAGACAGGGAACCCCCTGGATTACTCACTTAGGGCCCTCAGCCCTGGAGAGACCCTCACCAATGCTGCCTCCCCTTCTGTTCATTGGCACCAAGGGGACCTCCAGGAAGCATCTAGTGAGCCCTTGGGGTGGGGGACAGCTCTGCTGCTGCCAAACCCCAGGAGTCTGTCGCCTGCAGCCCACGAGCCCCAGGGACTCCCATACGCCTTTGTTCTCTTCTCAGGGATGCCTGAGGTGCCCTGCTGGATCCCAGAGCTTTCCCCACCAGGCAGCCAAGGAATGAGCAGGGAAAGGCATGGCCAGGAGGTGGGAGAGGGTCCCAAAACACACCCTTGAGGCCCACTGTCCCCAATCTCACCAGCTGAATTTAGCATCAAAACACTAGCAGTGAGGGCTGGGTGTGGTGGCTCACACCTGTAATTCCAGGAGTTAGAGACCAGTCTGGCCAACATGACGAAACCCTGCCTCTACTAAAAATACAAAAATTAGCTGGGTGTGGTAGCGGGCACCTGTAGTCCCAGCTATTCGGGAGGCTGGGGCAGGAGAATCACTTGAACCTGGGAAGTGGAGGTTGCAGTGAGCCGAGATCACGCCATTGCAGTACAGCCTTGGTGACAGAGCAAGACTCCATCATAAAACAAAACAGAACAACACTAGCAATGAGGGCTGGGCGTGGTGGTTGACACCTGTAATCCTAGCACTTTGGAAGACCAAGGTGGGGGGATCACTTGAAGCCAGGAGTTTGAGACTAGCCTGGGCAACAGGGTGAGACCCTGTCTCTACAAAAACAAACAAAAAAAGCCCTACTGGTAGTGAGGGCCCCTGTGGACAATTCCAGATAGCAGAGCAAGATCAGGCCTGGCATACATCACAGTCACAATTCTGGGTTTCAAGCATGATTTTTGGTCCCAGGATTGTACGGCTGATGAAGGCGACAGCTCAAGGAGCAGCTGGTTGGTTTCCTGAAGGGAAATGCCCTGAGAGGAGAGCGGTCCTGAGTCTCCAGGGGTCACTCTCAGGTGAGTCAGTTCACTCCACCTCAGCAGTTCTGCGAATTGCCACTGGCGTGCACAGGAGCTCCCGGCCTGGTGACCTCTGCTGTGACTCTCCGGGTGTGCCTGTCTCACTGACTTCAGGGCGGCTGTTTTCCTTGCGACCTCAGTTCCTCCGATGTGTCCAAGGAGAGGTATTTTCCATTTGTCCAGTTTCTTCTTGAAGTGACACTGACAAAGATTATTTGCTCGGCCAAACTTTACTTAGGCTCCTGAACCTTCCCCCAGGTCCACCTGTGTGCCCTTGTAAAACCCAGTTTCAGCAATCCCTTGCTAAGTCAATTTTACAAGAACGCCCATCCGTGACATTTTTTTTTCTTTTTTTTGAGATAGGACTCACTGTCTTCCAGGCTGGAGTACAGTGGTACGATGTCGGCTCACTGCAACCTCAACCTCCCAGGTTCAAGTGATCCTCCCAACTCAGCCTCCCAAGTAGCTGGGACCACAGGTGCACACCACCACGCCTGGCTAATTTTTGTGTTTTTTGTAGAGATGGAGTCTGTGTTGCCCAGGTTAGTCTTGAACCTCTGGGCTCAAGCGATCCTCCCAACTTGGTCTCCTAAAGTGCTGGGATTGTAGGCGTGAGCCACTGCACCTGGCCTCATCTTCCATCCCTGCCCCCAGGTGATGTCTGGTCACCCTGGCCTGTCTTCAGCAAGAATCTTGTTAGGGGTGTTTGGCCAGAAGGCCCCTGACCCCTGAGACTTCTTCTGAGTCATTTTCCACCCACTGCCCTGCCCTGCTCCTCAGCTTTAATCCCCAGCTGCCCATGCTGCTGCACTCAGAGTTGAGCTCTCTCTCTCTCTCTCCCCCCATCCGCAAGACCCCACTGCAGTGGCCCCTGTCCCTACATTGATGGTCCTGGATAAAACTTTAGCATGAAAGAAAATGAAAAGCAAAATGTTTGCTTTCCCAGCCCCTTCTGTGTGCCAGGCACCTTGCTAACATGACCCCGGAGGCTGCAGCATCCGTGTGCCCATGGGGAATGGCTCGCTGGGTGCGTCTCCTCATGGCCCATGGCTGGAGCCTGCTTGTGTTCTCCGCCTGGCACTAGGAACTCAGGGGGCAGGGGCTTCTCTGCTCTCTATATGCCATGGTACTTGCACTCCATAAAGATACTGCATCGGCCGGGCGCGGTGGCTCACGCCTGTAATCCCAGCACTTTGGGAGGCTGAGGCGGGCGGGTCACCTGAGATCGGGAGTTCGAGACCAGCCTGACCAACATAGAGAAACCCCATCTCTACTACAAATACAAAATTAGCTGGCCGTGGTGGCACTTGCCTGTAATGCCAGCCACTGAGGAGGCTGAGGCAGAAGAATCGCTTGAACCCAGGAGCGGAGGTTGCGGTGAGCCGAGATTGTGCCATTGCACTCCAGCCTGTGCAACAAGAGTGAAACTCCGTCTCAAAAAAAAAAAAAAAAAAAAGGTGCTGCATCAGACCCAGGAGCCGGGGACCTCAAACAGATGGGCTGGCCAGGATGTGGAGCCCGCTGATTGGCCACGGACAGACCGGGGGTGGTCTCGGCAGGGACTTTGAGATTTGCTTCAGATCTTCCCTGGGGCATTTTGGAGGGGAGAAGGCAGACTCTGGCTCCGTGCTCTGTGCGGCCTTGGCTGAATTACTGCAACTGAGCCTCGGCTGCCTCACATTTGCACTAAGCACAGAGGGAAGGCGGTGGGGCAGCACCAGAGCACAGTGTTTGCTGGTGCCTGTGGCCTCCAACAGCAGAGAGCGGAAGGGGACAGGGACCCTGCACCTCATCACATGCCCGGTGTGTTTTCAGGGCAGCGGGGCTGGGGACCGAACACTTCTTTGCTGCTGTGAGCAGGGCCCACACACGTCCCCGCTTGGAGCCAGCGCGCAGCCACACGCGCTTAGAAAGTGAGGCCGGCGAGAAGGAACACAGAAGGCCAGCGCTAACTGCGTCCCAGTTTCTTTTTTATTAATTTTTTTTCTTTTTTTTTTAAGTATGGAGGCTCAAGTATAAGATGTAGATTTTTTTTCTTAAGCTTTACAAAAAAACAAAATAAAACAAAAACCTCCTTTTGCATTCCATAGAAATTGACAGAAAAGCACCTGGCCGGAAGAGCGGAACGGTCGGCGGCCCCCCCAGCCCCCACCCTGCGGCCTCCGTGGGACGGGCGAGTCTGCGCAGGACGGCACCGAGGGCCACCTCTGCTCCCAGAGCTGTCCCCTGTCCCCACGACCCCCAACCCCAAGCAACTCCCAAACACACACGGAATAAGATTTCCAGTTTTTCTTCTCTCTTTCACACACCACAGTTAGTTCATAAAATTTTTTTGTTTTACATTTTTTACACCAATGTAACAAAAAGGTGGGAGGGAAGGGAGGCTGGCCGACAGTGGATTTTATGCCTATAAATGGGGGGACGGGGAGGAAGACAGGGGCCCGGGAGAACAAAAACCACATGGTCTCTATGGAAATGTGGAGAGAGCTGAGAGCGAGGTGTGGCGGAAGCAGGCTCGGAGCCGGAGGAGGGTGGCTATGGGCTTTATTCTCAGGGAGAGATGGCGCTGTGCAGTCAATGATGCAGCTGTTATGTGACCTGTCGGGGAGGGAAGGGACGAGGGGAGGGAGCAGAAAACGAGTTTTCTAAGAAAGGAACCTAACGAGTGCACGGCGTGTCTGGTTAGCATGAAGCAGAGGTTTAGCATTGCTGCTTTCTCTTCAAAGCCTCCACCAGGTCATTCTTCAGAGCTTCTTGTTTTGATTTGTCTGCAAAAGTCTGCACAGACCTGCAAGGGAGGAAAGGCGTTATCAGCAGATTGAACAGGGATTGGTGAGGCGGTGGGGGCCTGGGGGCCACCATGCCAGTGCCTGGCTGGTTTGCTGCATGGACCCACCTCCTGGGGTGAGGCTCTGGGTCACTGGGCTGGGCATCTGCCCCTCTCAGAGAGGGGTGAAGGGGCACATGGCCGAGACCTGCACCCTCTGCACCTTGCCAGGCCCTGTGGGGGTGGCATATGGCTTACATGGACAGGTGCTCATCTCTGCCCCTGGCCACCGGTGACCCGGCCATAGTCACTAGAACCCTAAGTTCACTCCTCTGTGTGTAGATCCCCATGTCACCCTAAGCCACAAAGTGGCTTCTGGGCTTCCAAGCACAATGGAACAAAGTCCCTCTGCTTCAGAACAGCTACCCTGGGTTGCTGGCTGGGGACTCAGGCCAGGGGCTAAGACGTGAGGGCTCTGGGGCCATGTGGGTTCCTCTAGGAAAGCTTCCCCCTTGCCCAGGCCCTGCCCAGCAGGAGAGCCTCATTCCTCACCCCACAAGTGCAAGGTGCAGCGTTCTCCCAGCCCTGGGAGTGGGTAGGAACCAGTGTCTCTGTTTCTGAGCACACCGTGTTCAAGGCTCACGCAGCAGGTGCTTCAGGCCTCTGCTGTGAGGTACCACCCGCTGTTAACTTGGCCCAGAAAACCCCTCAGCCTGGACTGCAAAGGGCGGCACAGGAGAGCCAAGTGCCCCTGGGATCCCTGCTGTCAAATTCTGGATTTGTGGGGAAACGTTCAAGGTGACTGCATTCACGTATGTGTGGGGACACTCATCAACAAAGCCAGAAACAATGAAGGCTTGTGGAGATTTCATAGTCTACAAAACGCCTTTCACATATATTATCTCATTTAATTCTTATGGGCATCCTGGGGTAGTCTCAACTATCAACCCAGCCAGATGTGGTGGCTCAAGCCTATAATCCCAGCACTTTGGAAGGCCAAGGCGGGAGGATCATTTAAGGCCAGGAGTTCGAGACCAGCCTGGGCAACACAGTGAGACCCCATCTCTACAACAACAACAAAAAAGAGCAAAGTCAAGGCTTTAAAAAAAAAAAAAAGCTATCAATCCAATTTACAGATCCGGAAACTGAGGCCCAGAGGAATGCCCGCTAGCAATTCTTTGATCATTTTGTCAAATTTACCCAACATATTGGTTAGGCAATGACTTCCTAAATGTGGGTTTTATAACAGTTTAGAAGCAGTGGAAAGAGTGGGTAGAGGGCTGCCCAAGAGTGCTACAGAGGGTGCACTCAGCTGGACTCTCACGTTTGATTCACACCAACCATGGGAAGGAAGAACAGAAAAATCAGTCCCCAAATGCAAAAATGGGTAAATAGAAGTGAAGCAGGGCCCAGGAGAAGCAACAGCACCCAGATTGAGTTCTGGCTACTGAATCCCTACAAGTCACAGGAAGAGCCCTCAAAATACTCAGCAGGTGCCATAGACAAGACCTGGAAGCAAGCTGCATACAACTGAAAAAACTCCCAGGAGAAACGCAGACATTTGGTTCATGCTGGGGAACTACACGTTTCTGAGTATCTTCCCAGGACTGTCCCTGGCTCTGCGGCGGCCAAAGGCATCAGCCCTCACGACCCTCAGGCTCCAAATCTCAGCCGATTCCCCAGGGGCTTCTTGCCAAGCTCACAGCGGGAGGTCAACATGGCCAGCAGGAGATGCGGTGGGCAAAGCAGCAGCGCACAAGACCCCTAGCCTGGGTGGTCACTGGCTCTTCTGGGAAGGAAGAGCCAAGCCCATCAGGTCTTGGCTGGGCTGCACAAAGGAGAAAGTTCCAGAGCCAGAATCAAGTTAGACACAGGAAGTTAGAAGTGAAATGGTGGAAGGCGGAAGGAGCAGGGGGCTCATTTAAGGGACAGAGCTTGGGAAGGTCACGGCCAAGCACCCTGGAATCAGCGCTTGGAGACAGAGCTCGCCTCTGTGGGAGGGCGGAGTCTTCCTGAGCAGACCTGGCTGTCAGGGTTTCTACGCCAGGACGCCCCCAGTAGGCGGCCAGGTAACTGCACCACCACAGTGTACCTTCAAAAGGGTTTTTTCTCAGTGCCACGATGGAAATGTCTGATGGCCCCACTGTGAGGCTGACCGGAGTCTTGGGCCTTAAGTTGGCACACACAGACTAGACTGGTGCACTTAAGTCCCATGGCCTCGGAAAAGCAGCTCCGCCTGGTTTTCTAAGTGCCTGACCCCCACCTCCACCTTGGAAAGCCTGCTGCACCCCTTCTGGGGTGGGCCTTCAGTGTGGAGCCCCTGGACCTGGACTCTGCAGCCCCAGCTGGCAGGGTTCCAAATGCCTTCTTTTACAGACAAGTTTCCCTCCTGCTCTCCAGGGATGCTGCCTCCTTCCCTACATCTGGATCTGTCACAAGCTCAAGTCATGGTTCTTGGCCATTACCAACAAGCAAGACTATTTTCCTTTCCATCCGCGGAACCTGTTTAAAGGAAGAGCTGCAGCTCGTTAGGGGCGGAAGGTTATGCTGGTTGAGGCCGAGTCTGCACTGGGCGTCCAGGCAGCTCCAGCAGAGCATCGGGGCCGGCCTGGGTGGAGTCCAGCCCTGACTCTGCCCTCCAACCCCAGAGACTCAGAGATCAGAGTGTGAGGTCACCCCTTCCAAGCCAGCTAGCCCTGGACAGCCAATGTGCCGCTAAGCAGGGGGCTTATTTGGCTTCTGAGATCCCTGCACCAGCATCAGAGGCTCCTCTGAAGCATGGGGAGTGGACGGCAGGCAGACCCCTGCCCTGGGGAGAGTCAGGCCGGTGCACACAAGGGGCTGCTGCTGGAGAGGCAGCATCCGTCCCTTGGCCTGGGCTTTTTCAGAAGTAAAAGCCAAAAAATCAGCCGTCTTCCCCACACCCAACCTCCGCCCAGAGTGGAAAGCGCACACACGTGATAGGTGCCGTGTTACACGGGGCCGCGGCTACACGGGAATGTGGCTGCGCACCGGCCGGGAGCACACGTGGGGGTTAGTGGTGTTTTAAATGGCCGCGCAGCAGCAGCCGGACCGGCAGGGTCTCGGCGGGTTGGTGAGTCCTGTTTTAGTGGGGAGGGTCTCGCGGCTCTCAGGCAGGGTACCTGGATCGGCTTAATTATCAGGCTGGATGTAGATCTGGCGCTGGGTCAGCACTTGAGAGAGCTCCCTCTGCAACTGCTTAAACTTTTGGTTGTCAGGGATAGCATCAATAGATCTACAGAGAGTGTTCAAGATGAGTGGAGTAGGAGGGAACAGAACCCCGAGAAGCCAGGAACGCAGGGGGCCACAGCTGAGGAGGAAATTCAGGGAGACCCACGAGGCGGAAGGGGGGTGCCGCGGCGGCTCTGGGCTGTAGAGTGGTATCACCCCTGCAGAGGCCCACGCTGGTGGCCGTGGTTTTCAGGGGCTCGCCACCACCACCTATAGGCTCTTCCGCTTCTCTCCCCCACTTCCCAGCCACTGCCTGGGGACTGTGTAGGTTGGCTGGGTGGGAAAGTGCGCTTGGTGTATTGGGCAGTGGCTGCAGGTGGCAGGCCTAACACTGGGCTCTGACCCTGTCACAGGTCATGAAGACCAAACCTCCCCCAGGTGGGCAGGAGATCAGAAGACCAGGGTCCAAAGAGGAGGACTCCTCTGTTTTAAAACTGTAGAGCAGGCAACTGAAATCTGTCACCCACCCCAGTCCATGAGCTGGTGCAGCAACAGAACTGCAACCTGCCTCTCTGGGCTGGGCTGTGAGAGCTACGTCACAGCAGTGGGTGAGAGGGCTGGCTGCTAAGGGCATAGCATGGCCCGACTCACATGGTGCTGCTGGACTGCAGAGCGTGTTCTAGATTCACCATCTCAGCCGACCCTGCCTCCTCCATCGGACAAGGGCCTCTTCGAGGAGTGCCAGAGGCCACACAGCTCAGGATGACAGAGCTTAGGGGAGATCCCAGCCTCCTGACTCCAAGGCCAGTGCTCACTCCACAGCTGTCTACTGCCCCCAGCTGGGCTCTGGCCTGTCAGAGGCCTGCCTCCTGCTCTGTCCACCATAGACCTGGAGGGTCCAAAGAGCCCCCAGCTTTTGTTCAGGCTGACACTGCAGAGACGAGGGCATGAGGTGGGACGGTGCAGGACATTGGCCACTAGTAGCAGAGCCCTGGCAGAGGACATCAGAGAGGCTGGGGGCCCCCTGAGAAGGCCCGGGCTGAGGGCCCTGCCTGCACATTGTGCTCTGCTGTCTCGGAAAGCAGGCCAGCCAGAGGCGGCTGGGCTGCCTGGGATGTAGTGTCATGGCTCCCCTAGGACCAGGCTGGAGGGGCTGGGCAGATTTTTGAGTGGGGACTGACAAACTGCAGGCCTGAGGAGGCTCTGGGGGCAAGGGTACCAATGGCTGCTAGGGTGAACGTGCCCCAGAAAACAAACAGTACAGGTAGGGACCGACAGCTGCTACTGAGAGTGCAGATGACACACCAGGACTTTACTTTCCAAAATCACCATAATGATCATCCTAGAAGAGGGACACTGCAGCCTGAAAATGAGAAAACCGAGGCCCAAGACCACACAGCTAGTAACTGGCAGAGCCAGGGTTCAAATCCCTCTTTCTGCTTCTAAAGTGTGTGCTTTCTGGTACATTACCTCAGCCCATTGACGATATCCTTTGTTTTTCCAAAGTAGATCTCGTTCAGCGTACTTCTGATTTTATTTTCCATGTCCTGGAAGGGAGGTCGGTCAGCGCCTTGGCAAATGGTCAGGAACCCTGAGGCCAATGCCCTCTCTCCACCCGCCAGCCCTGCAGTCCCCATTGTGGCCACTGGAGGGCGGCACACACCTGCTCTGGGGCACGGGTGAGCGAGCTCCAGGCTGCCAAGACCCCACCTGCCATCTGTGCTCCAGGCGCCTTCCTGTCCTCAGGAAGGGAGGAAGCCAGTACCCAGGTATTGGCGGCCAACTCTGCCCATGCCTGGGAGCTGGTCTAAACCACATCACCACCCCTCAGACTCCCCACTAATTTTGTGAACAATTCTGTGAAACCGGAGAGCACCTCCCTGCCTTCCCAAACAACGTGGTGACAGGAGGGCCAAGGCAGCCGCAACTGAAGCCACGCCAGGGCCCACTGGCATTTCTGGGATCTGCTTCCTCTCCCAGCGCAGGGCCCTGTTCACACCCAGGCGATCAGGGGAGACAAGACCTAGTGTGCCCCAGAGCCAGCGCCTGAGCAGAGTCTTCTGGGAGCCCGGGTCGGGGGGAGGAGCAGGAGGTGGCCCTGAAGCCACAGCCTGCTGGCATCCAAATCAGAAGCTCCGAAAATATGAGGCCAAGGTAAAATCCAAACAGCGCTCTGCCGGCTGCTGTGGAGCTGGGAGAAAGCAGCAGAGAAGGGGGCCAGCACAGCGGTGCCGGGGGTGCAGTGTCACTGCCGTGGGCCAGCACAGGAGCCAGCCAGAAGCCCCGGCCACTCACCTCTACCAGGCGCCCGATGTTGGCTATGTGTGGGGAGCAGTCACCCACAGTTTCATCTTTCTCCATCTGCAAAAGACAGAAACATTCCAAGTCAGAGAAAGTTGGGGCTTTCTGAGAACGGCAGACAGCCCAGCCCATCTCCACGGTCTGCAAAGAGCCTATTGTTCCCACCGTGGAGCCAGCTGTAGGTGTGACAAGGCCACTTTTGCAGCCTGGGAACTGAAGCACAAACCTACTTCAGTTTCAGACCATAAAGAGCCCAGCCGGCAGAAGCCCAGGGCCCCCACTTTCAAGGGAGAACATTTTGCTGCTGCCCATGGTAGAGCAGGCAGATGCCCAGAGCCACAGCAGGGAGGGCAAAGGCAGAGGCTCTTGACAGACACCGGCTCACCCGAGCCAACTGGAGAAGACTCGCTCGGTTTGTCTTCAGGCCTCCACTGGCAGGCCCAGGACAGGCCGTCCACCCCGGGTTCAGGGCCTCACACTTCAGGGGAAGCTCCCGGACTGCTGCTGCGCCCTGACGCTCCCGAATGGTGGCTTTGGGGTGTCATCTGCTGCGATCTCGCGGGGAAGGACAGACAACCTCTGACGGAGACTCCAGGCCACAGGGATTCAGTGGCTCACCCTAGTCATGCAGGTGGCAATGGCAGAGCCTGGGTCAAACCCTTCCTCGCGCCAGGGCCCGTTTGTTCTACTCTGTGAGGGGAGTTTGAGTGAGAGTCTCAATACAGACTGAGGTGCTGAGGGGGGCGGCAGCACTCAAGCCCCATCTCCTCTTCCCATGCCCAGGAAGAACTGGCTCTGACCCAATCATCTCCACTTGGAGGAGGGAGGAAATGAAGGCAGGTTAGGGAAGAAGGAATTCGGCACTTTCCTCCCAATTTTTTCTTATCTGAAGCCTTATTTCCCTGACAAGAATATAAATTCTTTAAGGAGAGATGTGCCTGTCTCATAACTCACAGGGTGCCTGGAAGAGTGCTAGGCACATAAATGCTCGACGTTACTACACTGAAAGAAAGAATCTGTAGCTACCATGACCGATGTTGTTGAAATAAAATGTGGAAGCTGAAATAAAGAAAGAAGAAGAAAAGAACAGCATCAGAAAGGGTAGAGTTCAAAATGAGTTCAGGCCCATAGAAGAAAAACCAGCAAAAGGCGGGTTCCTCTCTTTGGAACCAGGAGACGGGTGGAGGCTGGGGGGAGAGCCTGTCTCAGAGGGCACGGGCTCTGTTGCTTCTCACCTATTTCTACTTCTCCTCATCAGGGAGATTGACTTTCAGGCTGCGAAAGGTGGAACCAACCTGGTTAAGGGGGTGAGCAGAGGGCAGGAAAGAACCAAGTCACTTTAAACAACCAGGCTTGCAGGGTCGGGGCAGACCTGACCTGTGACTGCAATCTTTGACACCCAGGGCAGCAGTGGCTGACCTGACTTTTGTCTATTTTTTTTTTCTTTTCGAGACGGAGTTTCACTCTTGTTGCCCAGGCTGGAGCGCAATGGCGAAATCTCGGCTCACCGCAACCTCTGCCTCCCGGGTTCAAGTGATTCTCCTGCCACAGCCTCCCCAGTAGCTGGGATTACAGGTGCCCCCCAACACGCTTGGCTTTCCTTTTTTTAATTTTTTTTATTTTTAGTAGAGATGGGGTTTTGCCATGTTGGCCAGGCTGGTCTTGAACTTCTGACCTCAGGTGATATACCTGCCTCGGCCTCCCAAAGTGCTGGGATTACAGGTGTGAGCCACTGCACCTGGCGGACCCGACTTTTGTCAAAAAACGAAGAATGGGCTGGGCGTGGTGGCTCAAGCCTGTAATCCCAGCACTTTGGGAGGCCGAGACGGGCGGATCACAAGGTCAGGAGATCGAGACCATCCTGGCTAACACAGTGAAACCCCGTCTCTACTAAAAATTACAAAAAACTAGCCGGGCGAGGTGGCGGGCGCCTGTAGTCCCAGTTACTCGGGAGGCTGAGGCAGGAGAATGGAGTAAATCCGGGAGGCGGAGCTTGCAGTGAGCCGAGATCTGGCCACTGCACTCCAGCCTGGGCGACAGAGCGAGACTCTGCCTCAAAAAAAAAAAAAAAAAAAAAAGGAAGAATGGCCTCTGCAAGGAAACGCTTGAAACTGATCCAGACAACAATTTTTGATGGGATCATTAAAATTATCTGCTGGCACATTTTAAAGTCAGAGATCACGAGGAGCCAGCCAGGCTCACTATGAACAAGCCCTGCATGAGAATACTTCTTTTCCTGTTTCGGTGGGGATGCTGGGCTGGGAGAAAACACAACTACTTAAATAGGGTTGCATCCTTCTGGCAAGTTCTCGTCTACCATCCTGCAGCTGTGGCTGAGAGGAAGGGGAGGATGCAGCCTCTGCCGATAGGGGTGGGGACCCCGGCCACAGTTCCACAGCCCCGTCGCCCACCCCTGCCCACTCCCCTCCACACCTGGTCAGGGTCAGCTCACTGGCAATACCGACCCACCAAAAATAGAACGATTTGTGCACTGCATATATTATGGGGCACCCTGTGGCAGTCTTTGCATGCCCTTGGTCAACTTGTTTGTCCAGGACTTAAGTAAAGGCCCGGCTGAGAGAATGACCAGCTTCCTATCGACTGTGTCAAGGGTTTAGATGGTCACAGGGTTAATACAGAACCCGGAAACCTGGGCTAGCTACAGAAGGAAACTGAAGCTTAAAGATGCAAGAATCACTGTTAGATTCCAACGCCTTTGCTCTTCCTACTTCACCATGCCAGTTAAATGTGCCGGGGCAAATTCAAGTCAGATATTTAGGCTTAAGGGTGCATTTCATGGAGTACAAAATGGAGAACTGCTGACTTGCAAACAGTTCCTATGAAGAGACTTGTGGTTTTTAGATAATTTCAAGCTTGACAAGGACGAGATGTGGCTACTAGGAAAGCTTTGGTGCAACTTTAAGGTGCATAAATGACAGTATTCCTTGTGCCCAGATAAGGGGAGGCGTTCCCATCCCATCGCATGATGAAGACACTGCAGCTGCCAGGTCCCACCGCTTGCTTGAGAAGGCAGTGGTTCCCCTCTGTTCTGTCCTGGCCTGGCTACATCTGCAGGGCTGGATTCAGTTTAGGGCATTTTTTTTTTTTTTTTTTTTTAAGAGACAAGGTCTTGCTACGTTGCCCAGGCTGGACAGGAACTCCTGCAACCCCCCCACACAACTGGAACTATAGGCGCGTGCCACTGTATCCTGCTAAGGCACTGGGTTTTAAAAGTTTTGAATGAGTTAGAGTTCATCTGCTTAAAAGGTCTGAACACCCTGACACCAAGAAATGGAAAACAACTAGGGCTATCCAGGCCTTGGGGGGGCAGGGGGGAGATGTGTGTGGGTTAGGGGAGACCCAAGAGAATCTGGCAGGGCTCTGAAGGCCTGCTGTCTTCCAGGGGGAACAGATCCAGCCTATGTCGCTGCGGATGGCAGAGTGGGGACCGAGCAGTGAGAGAACATCATGGCTCACTGGGCTAGACTCGGTCTGTTCTGATAGAGCTGTCCCTGACAGGCATCTGCTCACAAAGTAATGTGATCCAGGAGACCGACGAGTCTGAGAAAGCGGATGGCATCTGACAAGGAGGGGGTCTAGGTGAGGGCAACAGTCCAGAACCTGCTGCCTCCCAAGTCGTAACAGTAAATCTCTGCAGAAAAACAGACACCTGGTTCTGGCAAGACTGTTTTGCTGAGGGCTAGTGGAAAAGGGAGAGAAATGCTAGAAAGACCGGCTTCTCTGCTCCCATCTGTCCTGGCACACTCTGGTGAGTCATCCTGAGGAATCTCGACCCTCAGACTCCAGGGGGTCTCCATAAAACAGGAGTAGTGAGTGCCCATGAACTTGAGACTGACAGTTCTCATTTCGGGTCTAATAAACACGCCACCCGTGGCAGCACTGGAGCATCTGCTGGAACATCACCTTTATCTGCCACTAGCAAAACCCTGGTGCCAAGATGATGGGGTGGGCTGTCTGCTGAACAGGAGCTGGGGCGCACCCTCAGGAGGGAGGGGGCTCCATCCACCCATCTTCAGAAAGAACTTTTGCATGCCGGCCCCCAGGGACTGTGTGCTCTCCCCGATGTGGAGGTGGTTACTGTGCCCAGGCTCGGGGCTGGGTGGAGTCAGCTCTGCGGGCAGAGAAGCCTAGGGGTCGGATGGAAATGAATGAGGTCCTTCCAGCAAATCAGAGTCTCTCCTCCTCCCCAGCTCCATGTGGACGGCAGCTTCCCGGCCACCCTAGGGAAGGAATGAGGGTTTGGGGCTCACTGTGGGCCCCATTTTAAATGGGCACCAACAGCCCAAAGTGAGGCCTGGGCCGTCAGCAAAGGTCCTGGGTCATCTGGGCAAGTCCAGTCACATCAGCAATTTGGGCCTCTTCGTTCCTATCTTTGTGTTTCAGAATCAAGAGCCATCTTCCAACAAACAGGCCAAACCCCATGGCCACCAAAGGTAGAAGAGGTTGGGTGGAGAAGGCTTGCAGTGTGCAGCACTGTCCCCAGGAGCAGACTGATTCCCCAGAACTCAGGGGGCCTCAGCCCGTGGTAGGGAGGCTGAGCCCACGTAAATGGCCACGCAGGGGCTGGGGAGGGAAGGAGAAAGGCACCTGGGGAGTGAGGGGCACAGGGCTCGGCGCACCAGGCCATATTTCCACAGCCCCCTCACCCACCCCTGCTCACTCCCCTCCACACCTGGTCAGGGTCAGCTCGCTGGCAATATCAACCCACCAAAAATAGAACCATTTGTGCACTGCATATATTATTACATCCTTATAAAAGTGGCTGCCAGAAGGAAAACATTTTTATGTGCTGTGGCTGCACAGATGTTCCACAAGGTGGTTCCAATAGAGTTTGAAGCCAGAGCCTGGCCCGCGTGTCCCCAGCAGGCACCTCTCCCCCTCCCCATGGCCCTAACGCAGGCAAGCGTTTGGAAGCCGGAAGCCTTTCCCCCAGAGGGGCTATATTACACCTCCCACTGCCACACGGCATCTTCTAGCAGGACCCAGAGGGCGCAGGACCCCTAAGGGGGCCCCACTCAACAGCTCTGAGGTCCCCCAGC